AGGAATAATGACCCTAAATCCAAGTTCACATGCCCTGCTAACCACATACAAGGATCACATCTCACCACATCCACCTTTCCCAGAGTGGGCTCTGAAAGGTTGCTTCTGGGAGATATTAATCAGGGTCATCGGAGGTTGGGGAAAGAGACGGGTGCTGTAGGGAAATTTGTTTGGGAAACTGGGTTACCGCTTAAAGAAAACTCCCTGTACAGAGCTGGGTTTGGGGACTTAAGGAGAAAGGAGGCAGAACTTCCAGGGCAGGTCTCCCTGAGCCATTAACACAAGAGTGGATGGAACAAATTCACCGAAATAGATCCCTTGAACGGTGAGTCACAGGGGGTCTGAAGATGTGGGTGGATGCGGCCAAGTTAAATACCTATTTAACAACTCTTGATAAAGAAAGATTCCAAGTGTGCGATAGATTAACTGGAGCAGATGAAGCAATCTGTGCCTTAAAGATCCCGTGAGACGTCCCCACCCTGGGAGGCAGAAAATCCCATCAGAAGCAGAAGACCACCCTCACCTCGCCCCCTGGCTGCCCCCTCTCGGGGAACAGCGATCCTCCCGTCCTCATCAGGGAAGAGCAGGGCTGTCCCCCAAACACCTGACTGGGAGGGAGTTTACCCTCTGCTGGTCCAGGAGAATCTCCCAGAGCACATGGCACCTGTGAGGTGCAAGTCAAGATCCTGCAGAAAAATTCAAAAGAATGACTGGCTTTTACCCGAGGCAGCTTATTTTTCCATGAGAGAAAAGGTCACGGCAACGAGTTGAGGGCCCTTTTGGGGGCTTCTCTGAGACCAAAACTACTGAGCAAGAAATTTAAAGGTTTCCAAAGTATCCTTGGGTCCCTGGTGTTGCCCACGGGGCATCTGGCAGCCACTAGCAAGGATGGCTGCACCCTCAGGAAGCAGAAGCCCTGGACTGTGGTGGGTGGGGGTCTGGTGTTGGGGGCCAGGGCCTCTGCCAGGTCAGCCCCATGCCAAAGAGGCAGCCCCCTGCGTCGGCTTTTAGTCCAACCCACATGCAGAGCAGCAGGCCGCTGGCCTGGGCTCCATTCCCCCTTATCAGATGGCAGAGGTTCCAGGGGTCTCCGTGTGGGGGGCAGTTCCTGGGAAGAGGACTCTGTCCTTCTGCAGAGTCTAGTGTGGGAGGAAGACACTGCCTGGAGGTCTTCCCCACAGAGGAGATCTCTGACCCGGCATGGCCTCCACCGAGGTGCGGGCAGCGTGTCTACACCGAGAGCTGTCCACACAGCCTGGAAGAAGTGAGTCGCCTCCAAGTTGCCCCCGACCTTCCAATGACACCGCTTCATAAAGATCCAAAACCACAGCAAGACCCATTTCTCTCTAAAATAATTTTTATTTTTTTTCTTTTAGTTTTATTGCTGTTAGGTTTTATTGGCCCAAATGGAAACCTGATAGGATTTTATTATTCTTAGATAATGATTTATAACTGTAGGTTATTTAAATGTTGCTCATATAAGTTAATTGATTCCATTTTATTTCACTTGTAGACATGGTATCTTTATTGTTGTTAACAAGTCTCCTAAAATCATCCAAAAAGATGGCAAGAACTTTTTCTTTCTTCTAAAATAATTTGGAAATTTTCCTATTTGGGTTTTACTGTATTATTACTAGGTCTCTAATGAAGACTCAGAGTAACTTTTCAGGTAGTATTTTATAAATACACATTATGTAAATGTGAAGCTTCTCAGTAAATTGTCTCCTTCTTGCCTGACTTCTAGAGGCGCAGTAGGATTTTTGTTATTGCTATTTAACAATATCATCTATTGATCCAGCAACAATAAATTTTTGTCTCTCTTCCAAGTAATATTGAGTTTTTTCTTACTTGATTTTGCTGCTTCAGTTAAGAGGTTGTATGAATGCACAAATAGAAGTTCAATAGGATTACAATAGGATAGCACTTTATAAATGTAGCTTATTTAAAAGTGAGCTTCCTGAACGCACTGTGTTCTCTCTCTCTCTTCTGACTGGCCTAGGGCAGTGTCTCAGTTGCTGTGCAGAGCCCACCGTATGAATTGCAGTGAGAATTTTATGTGAGCTGTCTCAGAATTGGAGATATTTGAAACTCAAAGTTTATTTCTGTTTACCAAGGGAGGAATTGACTTCTAGTTACAAAACGAACTAGATTTTCGTTTAAAAAAATTGTTTTGGAAGCACCGACTATGGCCACAGACCCTCCCTCGAGTATTCACTATGAATGCCAGGGTGTACGTGGAGAGGGGTGGAGGGATTTTGGAGGACCCTGCAAAGGGCCTGGACTTCCGTCACCAATTTCGTCTGTAAAACTGAGGAAGAACAACCTGCAAGAGTCCCCAGGGACCAAAGCTGGAACAAGTCTGGCAACAAAGTGGACAACATAATACTGGATTGTATAATACAGTGTCAGGAACACACATGACTCCATGCTGGTGTGAAAAAAGGATTGAATAAATAAAACGGATAGTGGAGACAAGTGTTCACGGCAGAAGAATTCCAGATCACAGAGGCAGACCTCCCCTCTCCGGGAAGTGTGTGGACTTAACAACTCACTTCCAAAAAAAGGCTGAAAAAGGAGAAGTCCTAATACTAAGTGGAGCAGCCTGTCGGTACTACCATAACCTAGTGATCGGAGTTAGGGTCTCCTAGGGTAAGTCACAGTGACATCAGGTTCCCCCTGGGATGAGAAGGTCAGTACACCTCTGAGGCTTCTTTCCCCAAATTCCTAACTCCAGTCGAATCAACAGAAACCACCAGATAAACCCAAATCAAGGGGCCCTACCCAGGCCTCCCCAAGTCCGTGGGATCACGGGAAATGAGGAAGTACCGACAACATCACAGACCAGGGAAGATGGAGATGGTGAATGATTAAGTGCAGTTTTGTGTCCTGGAACAGAGAAAGGGTATTATTGGAAAAACGGGTAAAATCCAATGAAGTCTGGAGTTCAATCCACAGTGATGCACCCATGTCAATATTTTAGCTTTGACAAATACGACCCAGAGATGGGACATGTCAATACCAGGGACGCTGGGTGAAGGGGACACCAGAACTCTGCACCATCACTGCAGCTATTCTGTAAATCTAAAATGCCTCCAAAATTAAAAGTCTGTTAGACTTCTGAGTCCAGAAAAGATGGTGTAGATTCATTGGGAGTCTCAATCTCCTGCTAAGTGCACCGAAATCAGCCAGTGATCCTAAGAGAACCCCAAGCAGGAAAGGCACTGGTGGGGACCTCGGAGCTTGGGAAACAGCGTGGCGATATGGTCCCTGGCTGCTGTTCAAGGTCATCTATCCCAGACTGCATGCTGGTGATCCTGACACTCAGAATTGCCCAGAGGGGCAGACAACGAATGCTCCAAGAAAATCCTGCTCTTTCTGTCCAAAAGGCCAGGGAGGTGACGTCCCAATGGGACAGAAAACTTTGTCAACCCAACTCCATGGAAGCCCCCTCCTGGCCTCATCCTGAGGTGGTGTTAGCAGAGCCTGGCTGGGTAGTGTGGACACCCTTCTGAGCCCCTGCACTCAGCAGCCACTGCGGACCTAGAGAGGGGTCCCCCTACGGCCACTGCTTTGGTGTCAGTGAAGGCAATGGGGTGCTGGGCTTGCTCTCCCATGTGGCAGTCCAGCTCCTCATCCTCCTACTGAGAACTGAGAGGAGAATCTCAGGTGGGAGGGAACTGAAGAAAGGGATTCTTTCAACCTGCATAGGAAGTGCTGGGCACACACCTGGCTCCCCAGATGTGAAACGGACCTGAATGAACATGCCAGAAGGTTTGAGAATTAGACTGCAGCATGGACCACCAGCCGGGTGTCAGGGTGGCCTCTGGACAGCATACAAACAAAGTGGACCAGAACAGTCCTGCCAGGGCTCCAGTCCAGATTGTCACAGGAGCCATAGCTCTCAAACGAAGGTCAGGACTTGTGTGCCAAACCCAGACGAGTGGCTGCTTTTAAAACAGGAGATTTGTAGAGGATCCAGATTGCCAGACGTCCAGTATGGCAGAAAACCACTCATCAGCTCAGGTGGTCTCTGGAATGTGTTCCCAGGGCTGCTGCACAGACTTGCACAGCCACACGGTCAGGTGGCCCTGATGTAGGACACCTACCCGTACTTCCATGTTCTGAGGTTTCAAACATCTCTAGAGAGAGCGCATGGGCACCTGCCTTGGCAGTGAGGGGGAGAGATTGCCTCCTCCAGGAAGGCACCTGAGGGCAGTGGGGGCCAGAGGACCGGCAAGGAGAAGGAGAGTCAGCTGCGAAGGAGAGGGCACTTCGGACCCTCCCCGGCTGTGTTTGGTGGCGTGGACACACCATCACTTTCCAATACTGAATAGGGTCCTTTCTTTGGGTCCAGCACGCGATTGACCATTTCTCACTGAAAATGCTCTTGACTTGGGTTGTGATTAAGAGCAATAAACAGACATTTTATCACTACCTGGATGTCTCTTCTGAATTGGAGAAAGGGTGAATGATGAGTTACTCCTGAGGAACTGGGCTCAAGAGCCCCTTGCTGTGCTTTACACCTCACAGTGGGATGGCGCTGCCTCCGTTTGACCTGTCATCTAAAACCTACAGCTCTGGCTTCGCTGGCTTGCAGCGTCCGTTCTGTGCTGCTGTTTGGCACCTGCCTGAGCTTTGCTAAGGGGATTTTTGCCTTGACCTCAGTTCTCCCTGGCAGAAATGTTTCCAATCGGTTATGGAAACAGAGGGGTGATGCAAACAGTGGGGAAATGGGATACATCTTTTAGATTCGATGACTGAAGCTTGGTTAGTACCCTTCCCAGTTTACAAAGCACTTTCCCACCCAGCAGCATCTCGTTTAAGCCTCCCACGGGTCTGCACTGGCTCCTTGGGCCAGCGGAGTGCTTCACTGTCACACCAGCTGTGATGAACGGGGTTCCATCACTAGACAAGAACTGAGTTAAACGCGTGGGTTTGATGTCAGGAGCTCTCCACAGGTGTATCTTTTATTTAAAAATGCCAATCATGCACCAAAGAATTTCACTTTTGATGGGATTTTAGGAAACTCACAGCTAAATTTAATATTAACTTGAAATAATAAGCTCACACGGGGTTGTTGTGACTTCTGCTTTCGCCTCTGTAAGACGCTCTGTAATCTACTACTTTCCATTATGCTCAATCACGCGACATCTCTCAGGCATGTAAGGGATTTTGGATTTTATCCAAATGGCAGTAGGAAGCCACAGAAGGGCTTTGGCAGGGAGATGCCCTGATTGAATAAGAATACAAGTGGATCAGTCTGGCTGTCACATGGGGAATGGAGTTGAGGGGTAAGGGTGGGAGGCGAGAGATGAGCGTGAGACACGGCAGGGTCCTGGAGCGGGTGGCAGCGGAGGAGAGGACAGACGCAGGACAGTTCTGGAAACAGGATGCCAGGAACTGGTAACTGTGTGGCAAGGCCACGGGGATGGGGCCGGTCAGCGAGGAGGGAAGGAAGTGCAGGAGAAGTTAGGGGACACAAGGGGGGAGGGTCGTGGGCACCTTGTCCACGCCGGTACCTAGACTCCCATTGCTTGTGAGACTGCAGAGAGAGGGAGACGGCAGAACGGCAGGGGAAGGGTGCCTCCTTTCTCAAGGGCGTCAGGGACTCGGGCACAGAGCAAGCTCCTCGGCATGGCGCTCTGGTCTCAGGCGTGGCCTCGGGAGGCGTGGGGTTTCTTCTCTGCTGAGTTCTGGATGGGGCCTCGCCATTTTCAACCCAGAAAGAAAAGCCCTTGGGGGTGGTGGGAGGCTGGGGGCAGATGTCGCCGTCTGAGCTCTCTCCTGGGCATCACCCACCACTCCCTTCCCTTTCCCCACCGGTGTGAGAAGATAAGGGGGCCGCCTGCTCAGTCCCTTGAACGTTGTCTCCTCTGCCTTATCCCCTCTCCCCAGCTGGGGACCCTCCCCGGCGACCTGCTCCCCCCACCTCTGGTTGTGAGCAGGACATGGTGCTGGGTGGAGTCATGGAGCAGCTCTGCCGTCAGGAGGGCTGCCCGTCTTTCCTCTGTCAAGTGCCACCCCTGCCCTGTTCTGTCTGTGGGAGATTCCAGTTTGTCTCTGGCTTGGTGGGAGTCCAGAGCCATCAGAGACCTGCGGGGGCAGGGGCAGCAGGCAGTCGGGAGTCCTCAGGCCGGTCAGCTGGCCCCAGGGGAGTGCGGTTGCCTTCCACGCAGCCGAGGCCTGAGTTACAACTGGGCGAGAGAGGGAAGGATGTCCCCACGTGAGCATCTCACAGCCATAGCCGCGTGGCACTCACCCAACAACGTGAGTCGGATAAACATCTGTTCTATAAGATTCTGTCTACAGTTTCACTCAGAGAGCTTTTCTAACCTAATTATGTGTGTCAATCCCGTGGCTGTAATCAGCGCTCTTAGGCTGACCTTCATGAACAGTCCAATTTGGATGGCTTTACGGGCTGTCTCGGGCAGCCCTTGGGTTACGCTGCACGTGAACTGATTATTGTGCGACGGGGCTGAACTCTGCAGCCGCTGACCTTTAATAGGCACGTTAATGGTGATGGAGTCTTGGCACCACCGTGCTGTTTTGGCTTTGTACGTTGAAGTATGGATAATGGCAGACATGTCTGGCAGATGATAGAGGGACCTGAATTGGCTCCAAGTTTTGAGTACTCGGCGAGTTTGCCTAAGAGGGAACTGGACGATCAGCTTTGCAGCCCTTCCCATCTCCCATCGCCCACCCCTCACCTACTCCCCATCCCAGCCCTGGGTTAAGTGGGGGGATCACAGGTTAACCCAGTTAGGCTGGCCAGTCAAGATAAAATCACGCACGTTGTCTCCTTGGAAACCCAGAAGAGTGAATAGCCACTTTTTTCTTTTTCACGCTCTTTCCAGCTGTTTCTTATCTGGAATAAACATAAAGGTGGAACGTGAGTGAGAAGGGGCTTCAAGCTGATTTGGGTGTTTATATTGTTATTTGGTGCGTTATATCAAAAGCCTTTTCCTAGCCTTGCTAGGTTATGACTGAGTTTCTTTTATGTTTATAAAGCCACTTCTCTTTCTGATGGTTAGTCCTGTAATTCCCATTTGCTCAACTTCTCTCCTTGCCCTGGAGAATTCTGGCGTATAACATGGCAAGCCCATGGGCATCATCTCATCAAATGTGGTCATTTACTTTTAAATAAGAAACCAGTGACCCTAACGTTTCAAGTCAAGCTATGAAGCTACTTTATTTTTGTTCTTCCTGCAACGGAAGATAAATATAAAATTAGAACATCATTTCTTGAACGTAGGTAAAGTAGACTCAGTTGTTTTTGGGGACATTAACAATATTCAACCATAATAAAAACTTAATGGGTAAAAGCAATCCTGATATATAATAAAGATTAGCTTCATTTTATGAGGCAGGCTGATCTCCAGTGAGAAGAGTTGGAGTAAAATAAATCACCTTACCTTCTTCTGGCAGATAAGCATCTGGTTGTGTCTAATGTTGGGTACAGTGTGTATCCTTCAGGGCTCACAGTTGAAGCACTGACATTTTCTGTGCTATTGTGTAGCAACCCTGTCTCTTAGAAAAAAAGCAAACCCAAATGTACTCAAACTCCCCTTTGCCTTTTCCAGAGCCAGATTGTCTGGTTCTCCTGCCAGACTGTTTTTAACTCCTTGGCATTTATGAGACAAGAGTAAATAAGGTGCAGCAGAGCCCTGTAAGCGAGGTGGTGCTGCATAGGAGAAAGAGCAAGGGGCTCAGTGATAGGCCAGACGTGGCATGAGCTTGCTTGTAGGAACTGAATGTTAGATTGCAGGTACTCGGGGAGCTGGCTGATTCAAGTTGGTAGCTTGAAATTGGCCATCGTGGGAGTGTTTACACCATGGAAACTGACTAGTGCTATGAATCAGGGGTCTCCCTATCCAACAGCCAGCGAGGCTGCTAACTCCACCAGCACCACTGCACTAAGGCTCTAGGGGCGGGTCGGGGACCTGGACACTGCGTGGGTGTGTCAGCAGTCTTTGCAGCTGGGATTCCCTCATCCATACCCTGGTCCTGCTGAGTTCTGGGCCAGAGAAGCTTTTTGTGCTTGGTCCCTTTTCTGTGAGCAGACTTACCAAGCATTTAAAACAGACAGGAAAGTGCCTGGTACAACAGGAAGTCCCGAGGAGCAGCAGGTGGCAAAGCTGGGTCAGACTCAGTTCCAACCTCCAAACGCGTGTGACTGTCACAGGGAAGGTTTAGGCAGAAACATTTTAGGAAACAGTGCGGGAAACTTGTTTAAAATCTATCATTTTAATCCTAGCTGCTGATCTTACCCATAGTAAAGAAAACCATGCTAAAAAGATGTTTTTGCGACGCCCCAGGCAGGTGATGAGGGAAGGGAATCATCTCCTTGGCTTTGGGAATGAAATTTCACAATGCGGAGATGTGGCTGACACGGGGGTTCCTGCTTGTGGATTTCTGAGCTAATTGCAAACCAGAATCAGATGCTTTGAAATCTCAGCTCAGGCTTTCCTGCCTGAAACCAGTGCCCAGGTGTGGCCATACAGCCAGTAATGAATCTGGCTCTCAAGTAGTTTGAAACTTGTTTTGACTGTCAGCCATGTATTTGAAGAAGTCTCAACACCAGCTATCCTATTTCATTTCATGTAAATGTTGGCTCTTATTTCCTCCCTCTTCCTGCCAGTTGAAATTATAAGAAACCCATCATTTGCAGGTGGAAAGAACATTTTGTGAAGTCATTTACTAAGCTGTGTGTTATGAAAACTCTTGGCCAAAAAGGGGAATCCTGAAGAAATTACGTTTCACCATTTTCCCCTCCATTCAGATCACCTGCCCCTCCTGTTGTTTTCATTTCAAGGGGGCCTGGGCATTTTTGCAATTTCACCAGCATAATCCTTTCAGGATTGCTTTCATTACTAATTGAGGTCTTTCGAAATACCAAGTTTTTTTTTTTCCCCAGTTAAATTAGTTTTAGGTTGTTAGTGGTTTCACAATCCGAAGCTGGAAAAAGTTACGACTTGGAAAAAGGTAGAAAGTCATGGAATCATTACGTTTAGAACCTCATGGTTGGAGGGACCCAACTCAGATTTTCTACCCCACTGGCTCTTCGTCAGGGTGACTCTGCTGCCCAGAGGAAATTAGCAATGTCTGGAGACATTTTTGGTTATCAGGACAGGGAGCAAAGTGCTACTGGCATCAGTGGGTGGGGGCTGGGGGCTGCTAAACACCCTGCATTGCACAGGACCCATCACCACCCCCATCGCCAAAGGATTAGCCGACCCGGAATGTCCATAGTGTGCAGGCTGAGACGTGCTGGGCTTCCCAGTGAATGAATCCCTTCTGGCCACGAGACAGCTCCAGGGATGGAGTAGCTCCACCAACCGTTTGCAGGAGAAGCGTCCTGCCCCAGGGACTCACCCACAGTATCAGGAGCAGGTGGCAGCAGTCTGAGCAGGAAGGGCCAGGGGACCCAAAAGAATTCATCTGGGGACAGGGAAGCCTTGGGTGCCTGCTGCCTGTCTCCTGTGCTTAAGAAGACATACACAGATTTATTAAAAGAGATGGACTTAGTCTGTTTGATTCCAGAGGGCAGGTTTAGAAAAGTTAGGCCCTGGGCAGGTGACAAAGTCTCACCTAAGAATGTTTTGGGGGCTCCCGGCTGCCTGTGGTCCCTCAGTTCACAGGTAAGAATGTCCCGTTTCCTCTGGGCCCTTTGTTTACTTATGTCCATGGCTTCCTGCTTTGTCCCGTCCTTGCGGATTTGGTTTTTTGGCCCAGGCAAAGTTCATGCTAGGCTGGGGGGCCAGGAGGGGACGGCGAGGACTGGCATTCCAGGGGCAGGCCTGTTGGACACTCGCAGCCCACAAGCGCAGTCCGTCCTGGCGCTGGTCCCGCTGGAACCGCCTCCGTGTCCCTGTCAGTCAGTGCGGTGGGCTATCTTGGCCAAGCCTATGAATCTTTCCCAAAAGGAAAGAAGAAAAAGCAAGCCATTCATTTAAGGGTTAGTGGGAAGTGAGTGTGTGTGTGGATGGCTTTTAGGATATCACTTGCTCTCCCAGAAACTTTCAATTGCCCCATAATAAAAACACAGAGCACCCTGCTCTGGGCGGAGAGGGGGTTTGAGCATCTCCTGGGGGCATCTTTGAAAGGCTGCCCCTCCGCAGCCCTAATCACTGCGGCACGTGGCTGACACTCAGCAAGCCTGCTCGGACTCACAGGATGGAGAGGCGCAGGAATTGCCCTCCGGAGAGCCGCACCTCCTCCCTCCACCGCCGACCCACCCTGCTCGTTGGCAACGCCCGTTTGGGCAGATGTGCATCATCTGGCGGGGCTGTGGACCAAGCGCCCAGCTCGACGCTCTTCCCTGCGGGGGGACCAGGACTTGGGGCACCGTGGTGGTAGTTGGGATAATAATAATGTTTTACGTTAATATTGCTGCTTTCATCCAGACGGATTTTTAGGCACTCCACAAGCTTTGTGAGGTAATTAGAACAAGTTGTAACAGTTCGTCTGTCGTTGAGCGTGGTTTCTGGGTGAGTCATGGGGTGTTCTGACCACACACAGTGCCAGGGTATTGATCATGGACAATGTAGAACCAGGGCTTCCTGTTGAGCTTAAAAGCAGCCAGGCTTTCGTGACTCAGAGGACTTGACGGTGGGGAAGGGCTGCCAGCGCACTTTACGCATCACTGGTGTTTGTTTTGTTTTTTATCTGTCTATAAAGCCATGTGGAATCCTAATTTAAAGATAGAAAAATCCCCACAGGACTGACTGAGTCCGGAGGGCAGAGATTCAAAGGTCCTGGAGCCAAAGGGGGTCTGGTTTCCAGGACCTGTTGGGTGTGAGCCTTCAGTCTGCCCTGAGAACCCCTCAGGGGGTTTCTGCCATAGGGGCTGAAGGGTCACTGGGAGGCTGTGTACCTGGTCCCTGCCACCTGCCTCTGACTGGTTTCACAAATTGGACTTCTATGCAGAATTTCAGCTGGAGGAAAGGTTGCAGTGTTAAAGAAAAATAAACTGTAAACCTGGTATTACAGGTGACAACCAGAGAGGTTGTGTGTGTGGTTTGAGGTCACACAGCTAATGCCAGCCAAGCTGGAACAGGACTGAGCTGTCTGTGCTGCCAGCCCAGGGTGTCACCAGTGGCAGTGCCAATTGCAGAAGGAAGGACAACCCTTTCAGGGAGCCAAAGGACTGGCTGACTCCAAGGGCAGGCTGACACGATGGAGAACCCCATTCACCAGAGCAGCTGAGAACCCCATTCACCAGAGCAGCTGCACAACAGGAAGGACCTCTTTTGCCTGCTAAGCTGTGC